AGGGGCCTGGAGGGGAGAGGGAGGGGCCTGGAGGGTGTAGGAGGGGCCTGGGTGGAGTGGGAGGGGCCTGGAGGGTGTGGGCGGGGCCGTGACGTCACGGGGGCGGGGCCTGCCTTGCAGGGCCGCATGGACCCTGGTGAAGCTCCGGCAGAGGCTGCGCCCGGGCGCGTGCAAACCCGCGTGCACACGCGAGCGACCCTGGGCGTGCGCGAGCGGCTGCTCCCACGCGGCCTCGATCCGAAGGTACCGGCTCCCCCGCCCGCGCTCACGCCTTGCACACTCGCACGCTCGCCTTGCACACTCGCCCCCAGCCCCGCGCTCACGCCTCGCACACTCGCCCCCCCGCCCTGCACACTCGCCCCCAGCCCCGCGCTCATGCCTTGCACACTAACACTCGCCTTGCACACTCGCCACTCGCACACTTGCTCCCCCGCCCTCACACCTTGCACACTGACACTTGCTTTGCACGCTTAACCCCCCACGCTCACGCCTTACACACTGACACACTCACCTTGCACACTCGCCCCTCTGCGTTCACACCTCACACACTGACCCCTTGCACACTCGCTTCCGCACTCACGCCTCACTCTTGCCCACCTAAGCCCCCTGCACTTACGCCTCACACACCGACACACTCGCCTTGCACACTCGCTCCCCTGCGCTCACACCTCGCACACTGACCCACTCGCCCCACCCCGCGCTCACGCCTTGCCCTTACGCGCTCACCTTGCACACTCGCCTTGCACACTCGCCTTGCACACTCGCCTTGCACACCCGCCCCCTTTTCACACACCCACACACTCGCCTCGCACACCCGCGCTCACGCCTCGCACACCCGCCCCCTCCCCCCCCCCCCCAGGGCCCTGCGCGCGGAGCTGCTGACGCTGCTGAGCAACATGGCGGACGCGGCTCTGGCCTTGCACGCGCTGCCCCGGGGCCCCTGGCGCCTCCCGCCCTGGCTGTCGGGGCTCCTGGGCACCGCGTCCTCGCTGCTCGGCGCCTGCCAGGCCGCGGCGTGACACGCCCGCGTGCAACGGGCACACGCGTGGGCACGCCCGAGTGTGCAAGCGACAATGCCCGCGCGTGCAAGCGACGCCATCAAGCGTGCAAGCGACGCCATCAAGTGTGCGACGCGCCCTCCTGCAAGCGGCGATGCCCGGGTGTGCACGGGACTGGCCCGCGCGTGCAAGCGACATCGAGTGTGCAAGCGACGCGCTCTCGTGTGCAAGCGACGCCACCGAGCGTGCAAGCGACATCGAGTGTGCAAGCGACACGCCCGACTGCAAGCGACACCACTGAGCGTGCAAGCAAGACGCCCGCGCGTGTGCAAGAGGCAACGCCCGAGTGTGCAAACGACACGCCCACGTGCAAGCCCATCCGGGGCACACGCACGAGCGAGCGTGCTTCAGTCGTGCCCCCGGGTCCCGGGTGGGTCCATTAAACGCCTTGACGGTGCCAGCCCGAGTGTGAGTTCACACCCGTCTCCTCCCGCGTCTCCCTCCCTCCGCGGGTGTGCGTGTGGGTGTGAGCACGAGTGTGCATGGGCGTGAGCTCCGGGGTGCGCCCAAGCGCGAGCACGCCTGTGCGCGAGTGTGAATGCGTGTGCGCGAGCGTGAGCACGCGTGCACGAGTCAGCGCGCGTGTCCCCAAGCCACACGCGCTCCAGGACGGGTGTGAGCACGTGGGCACGCGCGCGTGAGCACGCGCGTGTGCGGAGACCCGAGGGT